CCCTAGACACCTCCCACAACAAACTGCAAGGCTCGCTGTCCTGTCAAGGACTCCACTGGCCTCCCCAACCCACACCCTTCCCCACAGCACCTCTCCTGGGGCAGGGAGGGCCACACCGCATTTCCCTATGCTGGGTGACTAATGCTGATGGCCACTCAGGCCCTGTGCCCAGACTCCCCTTTCTGGAGGGCTTTCAGTTAGTTTAGATGCCCACTGATGCCCCAGACTCACTCCATCCACAACCTTCAGGGTAGGCCATGCCCACTGCCTTTGCAGCCCACAGCACCAAGACCCCCAAAGCCACAGAACCAGCTCCACTCACCTAAGGCCACACCCAGCTGCAGGACAAGCAGCCCTGCACAGCTGTGTCCTCCCTCGGTCAGCAAGATGGGTCCTGGAAACTAGAATCTGCCACCAACACTTTGAAATTGCCAAATCTACAGAAAATTTGGGTCTCCAGCTGCCCAGAAATGCCAGACCCAGTGGCGTGGAACCTGTGTGCTCAAGGACAGTGGTGGCAGCCACTCCCTAAGGCCACACACATGTGGCATGGCCCCTGGGTGGCAGCTGGGCCCTCCCTGTGGTGGCAGTCTGGACCTGAGGCTTCTATTGAAGCTGGAGGTCAGGCCCAGGCTTTGTAAGTCCTCTGGGTTCAAGGGGAGCCCAGGTGCTCCCTCAGTGTGTGTCCATTGACTGCCAGCTCTGCTGGTGCGACCTCCATCCTCTCCCTGCAGTGCTACTGGCCCAGCTAGGCCCTGAGGGTGCAGTGGCGCCTCCCTTGCCTGCAGGCAGGACAAGGCTCAGACACACACACACACACACACACACACACACACACACACACACTCTCTGACCCCTCTAGCCCCGTGTCCTCACAGTAGAGTGAAGAGCTGTGGGTTTTCTGAGGGGAAGGTGGTCCAAACTAGTACTCCCTTAGCACTTGTCAGGGGACACCAGGAGGCATTTCAGGCATCTGAGGGCAGTGGAAGGTGCCAGGGCAACTTTGCAGGTGATTATACCAAGAGAGAAATTCTCCCTGGCCTACCATGAAATGTGCAGAGTCCAGCTTAGGCTTGTCCCAGCCATGGGCCAGGGCTGGAACCCTGGGTTCCCTGCCCCCTAGGGAATGCAGAACCCCTTAGGCAGACACAAGTGGGCAAAGCACCACAGGCTGCTCCCCCTGGATCCTGACCCCCCCCCAAAGCACTGGCCATGTGAGGGCAGCTTCAGAGGACCCTCGATTCTGCCCTGATGGGATTCCCCTACTCCCTAGCCTAGATGGCTCCTCACCCTGCTCATGACCAGGGCACCACAGCACCTACAAGGGGACACAGCCAGGGCAACCCCTCCTTGGCCAGGCCTGACAGGTGTGCCCCCGTTGGGGACTTCATGGGTGGAGAGCAAGTCCAGATGTGGGAAGAGCACGCGTGGGGATCAGACACACGCTCATCTGTTTAAATTACAAACACGAATGCTGTTATAGAAAATAATAGCATGGTACTTTTATTTTCTTTAATCAGAAAAATAAGCCTGGAATTCCAGGGTGGAAGCCCTAGGTAAGCACCAGGAAGGGGGCCTGCCCAGGCAGGTGGGGCTCAGAGCCACCTTGGCTGGCGAGGCAGCGGGCTGCAGCCCTGGAAGGACCCAGCAGGCAGCTAGGGTCCTCCTGAGCAAGGGAAAGGCTCGGCATTGGTGGAAGGCCTGGCCTGGAACAAGGGGATCCCTGTTCCCTCCTCCTCACAGATGGGGCTGGTATACAAGGTGGCTGTGCACCAGGTGACTCCAGCCCACTCTTGGCTCAGGGGACCAGTAGGCTGGCCACAGCTAGCTCCCTGGGCTCCCCAAGGCCTGGGACAGGCAGGGCCCAGGCTCCTCCCTCCTGGGACACAAGCTCCCTCATGGGGCTCATTCTCCCCTGGGACTCCAGGAGACCTGAGTGCAGAGCTGCCGTGAGACGGGGGTTAGAGGCCTAGGGTCAGGGGCCAGGGGACCCATATAGGGGCGGGGTCCACAGACAGCCCTGTAGTGTGAGATCTGTCAASTGGGGCAGCCAGCAGCTGACAGAATGCTGCTGGGGTAGAGCAAGAAGGGCCCAGAGAGTGGGTTCTCCACCTGCCCTGGACACTGCAGCTCTCCCTGGAGACCCAAGTGGCCCCCTAGCAGTGCCCCCACTTGAGTGGAGGCAGAACCCTGAGGAATGGGGTGGCATCCCCTGGGTCTCAGCCCCTGTGTGTCCTTCCTGCAGCTTGGGGACCCTCAAGTGGACACTAGCRTCACCTGATTGCCAAAGGAGGGGGCTGGGCCCCAAAACTTGGCCACCCATATCTTGACCAATTCATCACTAGGAATTTCTGCCTGGGGGCAGGGAATGCACACTGGCCGGACAGGGCGGGCCCCATGGGAGCAAGCCTGTGGCTGGCACCCCATCACACACGCCCAGACACACAGAGCACACACAAGCCTACCTGCACACCACACGCACACACACATGCACATCTCGCACAGCTGCACACGTGATGGAGACTCAGAGATGCAAAGACKGTGTTGGCAATTTAGAGGCACAGGGAGAAAGGCTGAGGGACCAGCAGGCTCCAAGCCCTCAGGAGGCTGTGTGCCTCCCCCCAGGGCACGCACATCACAGAGCAGCACACACGTGGGGGTCACCACGACACCAGGAGGCCTTGACACCAGCAGGGGAGGGTGCGATGAAGTGATGTAAAAGGCCAGGTCTCCTCTCTCCTGCTGCGATGGCCTTGCTTGACCTGATCATGGCATAGCAGGGCTCTTCCTGCCTCTGGCTGAGCCTCCGTTTCCAACAGTAGTCAGCCAGGCCTGTCTGGAAAAGGCCTCAGGCCAGTCCGGCACAGCATCCAGGCCTGCTAGGCCTCACCAGGGCAGCCACAGGGTGACTGGAAAATTCATCCAGGGARCTACTTGGCATCAGGCTCCAGGGCTCACAGAGGGGGCCTGGCGGGCCACTCCTGGGGCAYAGGATCGGGTCCACCGTGACCTTGGAGGCCGGCAGGGATGGCCCAGAGCCAGGGGTGAAGGCTGGGGCTGACGGGCTGGCACTAGATCCAGCAGGGACCGCCGTGGCTGACAGAGGGGCCCCAGGAGAGGCCGACGGGGTGGGCCTGGTGTCCCCAGCAGTGAAGGACGAGTGGGGACAGGAAGCAAGGGTTGGGGTTTGCAGGGCTGGCTTGGACCGAGAAGTGACCGCAGGGGCCGGCAGGGTTTCTCTGGGCCCATGAGTGGTCGCTGGGGAGGGTGGGGCTGTTCTGGGCCCATGAGTGGCCGCTTCTGTTGGCATGGCTGTCCAGGACCCAGCAGGGAAGGTTTAGGAGGCCCAGTTGGCTCTGTAGATTTGACTAATTGCTGGGGCTGTCTGAGGCCCAGAAGAGACCGCCGGGGGCGGTCAGGCTGGCCCAGGAGGGACCTTCGGGGCTGGCTGCGCTGACATGGGGCTAGGAGTGCCCGCCGGGGGCAGCAGCACCGACATGAGAGGGAGCTGCTGGGCCGGCGGCGTGGGATGAGGAGTGAACRTGGGGGCTGGCACCGCTGGCACTGTCCTGAGGCAGCCCTATGGGGCTGGCCATGGAGACATGGGGTGGACCATGACCGCAGAGGCCGGCAGCAGTGCCGGTTCAGCAGGGACCACAGGGGTCGACAGAGGTGACAAGGGTTCAGCAGGGCTTGCCGGGGCCGGCAGAGGTGACATGGGGTCAACAGGGTCCGCCGTGGCAAACAACGGTGCCATGGGGCCAGGGGAGACCGCAATGGCCGACAGCGGTGCCATGGGACCAGGAGGGACCGCAGGCGCCGGCAGCGCTGCCTGGGGCCTGGCAGTGCCCAATGAGGCCTGTAGGGCTGAGCCAGGCGTGACCGCTGGGACTGGCAGAGCTGATCTGGGGCTGGAAGCAGCCGCTGAGGTTGGCGGTGCTGACCGGGGCCCAGAAGTGACCGCCGGGGCTGGGAGGGCTGTCTCAGGCCCAGAAGTGACCGCTGGGGCCAGCTGCGCTGGCCTGGGAGTGGCCGCTGGGGTGGGCAGGGCTGCCCAGGGTCCGGGGATGCCCGACGGGGCTGGCAGCGCTGACACGGGGCTGGGGGGGGCCCCTGGGGCTGGTCGGGCTGGCTGGGCTGGAGCTGCTGCTGGTGCTGGGCCGGGCCGTTCTGGTGCCAGGGGCTAGCTGGGAGCGGCCCCCCTTCTGGGGAGCACACCTGCATGGAAGAAAGAGCACGTGTCCACCTGGGCAGGTGTGCCTGCGGACCCCCCCATCCAGCCCAGGCCCCTGAGGCATGCTGTTCTCTCTCCAGAGCCCAACTCCCAAAGGAACTCAGGCGGAGCCCAAAACACTGAGAAGGCGCAGACCCAGGGACCCCGGGAGGGTGCAACTGCAGCTGAGYCAGGACAGAGGGCAGACCCACACATAGGGCAGCCCCAGCCAGCATCCACCTGCTTTGACAGGCCCTTCCCCAGCCAGGCAGGAAGGCCTGGGGGGTGGTGGCCCAGTCTCCTGGTCATTCCTCCACCTAGACCACCTGCCACAGTCCTGTGGCTCAGCACTCTCTGCCCCCGTGCCACAGTCTGGCAGATGGTGCTACCTGTGCAGAACACTCAGCACTAAGCCTGGTCCCCATGTTCGTTACAGACACGCTGGACACCCCTGGATACCCGTAGTCGGCGGAACCTGACAGACGCAGCGGGAAACGGGGCCGGCCTATCAGCTTGGCACTGTCATCCACCCGGCCAGCACACACCCTCCCCACGGCCTCTCAGCACAGGGGCCTGGGCAAGTCCCTGCACCTCCATGAACCAGGAGCCCAGCTCCTTTATCTTTGCCAGTGCCCCCTCCACATGTGCCCCACACCCTGAGCCCAACAACGATGGAGTGCGTTGCCAGGCATGCCCAGGTGCCGACGGGTGGTGTCCAGGTGCTGGTGTGGCCTGGGGACAGACCTGACTGCAGAGTTCCTGAGGTAGGGAGGGACCAGGTATTCACCTGCTTAGAGGGTTGCAAGGGGACCTTCCTGGCCCCTCCTTCACAGSTGGGCTCCAAGTCCTGCCCAGGGCTGTCCGCCTCCAGGGGTTGTCTGTTCTCACTGGGCTCTGCAGATGGACAGGTTTCTGAGTCCCGGGGCTTTTTGAAGAGGCGACGTTGTTCCCATTTCTCCTTCCGCTCCTGTGGCTTCAGGGCCATATCCTTCTGCAGGGAGAGGAAGGGAAAACCTGTCAATTGGTTGGAAATTCCCACGGGGCCATGTCACTGAGGCCTGGGCCCCTGGCTTTTGACAGTACATACCTGGAGGTGGTGCCCCTTGAGTAGGTGCCCAGGCTGGGGTCACACCTCAGGGAGGGAGCCTCCATCCTGAAGAGGCCACCTCTGAGGGAGATGGCTGTGCAGTTCCCCATGACTCGGGGGTGGCTGTGCAAGTTCCCCAGGTCCCAGCAGTGGGACACAGGCCAAACTCTAGCCTAGAGTACATGATGGGGCGCTGCCTTCCTTCCGGGCTGCCCTTCAGAGGCCGCTGAGACCAGAGGTGCCTAACACCACATAGCAGCCTTCCCAGTCACACTCCATAGGAGGTGCTGCCCAGGTGATACCCAGGCMCCACAGCAAACACCTCCAGATGACACTGTGTAGCTGTGATCTGGATAGAGACCCTAGCAGCCGTCACCCTTTGGGTTGCAGGACCCAGGAGTTGCTAGGTGCCTCATAAGCAGCTGTCTGGAAATCTCCTGAGTCCCAGCTGGTCTGTACCTTGTGCAGCCCCGAGTCTGCGCCACCCTGCCCTGCTGCAGCACTGGTACTTCTGGCTCGGGGTGCCAGCTTCCACAATGGGTACCCAGCAGCGATCAGCACCTCATGCTAGCCTGCAGCCAGGCATGCAGGGGAAGCGGAGATGCACATGCAGTGTAAGCTGCAGGAGGCAGCAGCCAGGGAGTAGAGCCCACAGAGGGACAGATCCCTCCCAGAGGAGGAGTGGACACAGAGCCAGGAGGGCATGCAGCAGGGCTGGCAGGCTTTTCAAGGCTCAGCTTCCTGCCCAGCCTGACTTCCCAGGACAGCCACAGCCAGTGCCAGGCGGGAGGACCTGCTGCTACACAACAGCACTTCCTACAGCATGCCCTAAAATCCCCAGGGCACCTGAGTGCCATCCTGCCCGCATGGCTTTGGGATCTGACACACGGGCCTGGTCTATGTGTCTGCTCTCTCCAGACCACACATGGCCACAAGGCTTTGCTGTCACTGTCTGCTCCCAGCTGGGTCTGGTGAGGGCTGCCTGTGCTTGGGGACTGAGATTCAYGGACACTCCCCTGCGCACCTTGTGTATGATCAAAAACCTGAGCAAATCCAGGGGCCAACTCCTGCCAAACTAAAGGCACTGCAAAACACCTGCTCCAAGAACCCCGCCAGGCTGGGACTGGTTTCCAAACAAGCCGCAAGACAGGAGTGAGCAGATGGGAAATCAGCGGGGAGCCATGAGGGTGCAGGACACCCCAGGCCCTGACATCTTTCCAGCCACCCCACCACTGTTCACATGTGGCTGCAAAGATGAACTTGCCAACCACAAAAGGTCTGAATTAGCCACATTTTCCTGTGAACCTGGTTTGGCATTTCTTTGTTTTGGAAAAAATAAAAGACTGCTACTGGCTCCTCTGCCCATTTCCACTGGTCCTGGGTCTGACCTCATTCCTGTTTTATACTGACCTCCCACCTCGGCTCAGCCACATTCAGAGGACAATAGTCCACCCCAGGTCCTTGCCCCTGGACAAGAGAGACTCCAGATGTCCCTGTGCCCACAGGACTCAGTCATGCTCACCTGAGAGAACAGAGATGAACCCCAAGTGGCACTTGTGGGGACATTCTCAGCCTCAATTCTGAGGCTCTTCTGGTGCAACTGTGAGCAAAGGTGATCCTTTGCTCTATGCACTCACAGGGCATGACAAACGCCCCCAAGCTTGGACAGATAGYGTTGCTGGGGATGAGGAGAGACTTGCTGTTTAGGGCATGAATCTGGCTTGTTTTGGAGTCCCCACAGCAATGCCACCACACTAGTACCTGTCTCCAAGAACCCTGACCACAGGCTGCCCCAGGGCAGGAGCCCTTGCTAGCCCCACACACACCTGGGCCACCAGGAGCACAGATCCCCTGGGGCTGGGGCGGCCCACAGCAGTGACTCCATATTGACCCTGCAGGGTTGATGCTATAGCCACCATCCAGGGCCAAGGCAGAGAACAGCAAGCCACCCACAGCCCCCTGCATTCCCCCCCAGGGCTGAGGGATGGCAGACCCTGAGCTAGGAGTCCTACCCACAGCAGTATCCGAGCGATTCCAGGAGGGCATGGTTTGCTACACAGGGCTCCAGGGTTCCGTGGGAGGACCTGGAGGGCTCACTAGAGCAGGTCTGGAGCCTCCGTCATGGTGGCAGGTTGGACTTGTGTAAGGGCTCCGCTAAGCACTCCACGCACAGCTCCACTAGTTCTGATCACCCCAGCAACAGACGAGGACCCCTTGGCAAGGAGATGCCTTCATGACAGTCTGGGATCTGCATCTTAGGCACCACCTGCCACTTAGCCCAACCCTGGGGGACACTAGCTCCTACTATCCCTAAAGTGTCAAGAGGCTGCAGCTACTACAGGGTCTCAGGCTACTGTTCAGACTGCAAGRAGCCTCTGCAGGGCCTGCACCCCTGTAATTGTGTCTGTGGCACCTACCTGGGTTAGCATGAGCCCCCTGTACTCAAGCCCACAAAAACAGGACCCTGATGAGGCAACAGGGCCAGGACCCCAACCTCTCTGCTCCTTTCTCCAAGAGGAGCACTGGGCTGGGTGCACCCTATCATGAGTTGTCAATTAGATTTTCCTGTAGTGATTTTACATGACTGTTTTTTAGTTCCCCTAAATGTTATTATTATGCAGGCACAATAAAATTTCTAATTGCACTCCAGTAAACCAACCGTGGAGAGAGAAGTAATTATAACTCAGCAGACAGACCCACTTCCCTCCACAGGGCAAGGTTGCTTATTACTAGTGTGCCCCTGGCAGCTCACCCACCTACTCCAGCCAGCAGGCACCCACTTGCTCCTGGAAGCACATGGGGCCTCCCCCTTGGTAAGAAGGAAGGCCTGGCCATGAGGAAGGCCCATCTGAGACCCAGCTTCTAGCCCCACCTGACCACCATATCGCCCTAGAAGGACTGCGCCTGAGACCGAGTGGCTGCAGAGGCCACAGTCAGGAGGCAGGGACCTTGCTCCAAGACCTCAGGCCTTTGCCTCTGACACTTGCATGGGGTCTGGGTGGGAACAGCCCTCCCCACCTAGCCCTCACCTGGCCCGGCTATAAGCTGGGCACCCGCAGCTCACTTCCCCTATCTAACTACCCATTTCAAGCTGCACCGTCCACACATTCCTTCCTATCTTACATGTTCACTAGTCTCTGAGCTRTAGCTGGCCCCCATCCAAGGTCTCCACTGCCCAGCATGAAAGCCCTGAGAGTAGCCCCCACCGCCCTGATAGGGGATTGTGTCTAATTGTCCCTCTAGCTAAGAAGGTGGGAGCAAAGCTCTTYTACCAGGACGGCGCTCCCTCTCCTCAGATCACATTCCCCCAGTGGGCAATGCTCTCTCGTGTCCCGCCAGGTACATCCAGCATCACTCAACTCAGCTGCCTCAATTTCCCTTCCTGTTGGCCCTATGTCACATGTACCCAGGGGAATGTCCCCACAGGCTTCACTGACCCCCTTGCCTGCTCCAGAAGCCTCTGGATCATGCCTGGCTGCACTTCCCGTCTACCCACCCTAAGACCACCTGTTGGCCCACAGCCTTTGGCACCTGCAGGCTCTCTGGAGCTGGCCAAAGCTCCTGAGTGCCCAATGGATAGTGTGGGCTGCCATGTGGAGCAGGAGGCAGGGCTGGCTGCACTGCCACTGACTAGTGTATAGGAGGGGTGCAGGGCCAGGGCCCCCAGAGGCCCAGCTTGGAGCAGCCATTCCTACAGCATGTCCTGGGAAAACTGCTTTGAGACCCTGCTGCACAGCACCCACTAGGGCTCTTATGGAACAGGATTTGTCTCTTTAGACCTCTGTCCAGCCCCTGCACTGTGCCTGGTACTGTTTGGGCAAAGAGGTCACTTAGAGACAAAGAAAATCCCACCATGTGCCCAGACAAGGAGCAGATGGCAACAGGCACTGGATAGGGCGACAGTGCTGCCCGGGGAGAAGCCAGGGCCATAGGTGGGCGAGAGGAAGAGACAGCAGCGGGGGCTGGAGTGAGGACCAGGCAGGGTTTACCAAGGACCCCCTGCCTGGAGTCTACATCAAGCCACTGTCCATCTGCTCTGACCCTTTGTTTACTGATGACCGAGCTCACATTCACACTGCCCCCCTGACAAGTGGTTTTGARGTCAGCCTCCATGATGCTCCCAACCCAGCCAACATGGCCTTCTCTCCAGCTCCAATTTGCTACAAGGTCACGATCACAGTCAGACAGGGCCTGATTCTCGGTCAGGATCCCTCTGGGGGTTCTGAGGGTGAGACCAGGGGGAGGGCCAGCAGTTCACCAGGAAGGAGGTACCAGTGGGCTGTGGGTGGGAGCCAGGCACAGTGCTCTGCAGGGTCCTGTGGGTTCTTCAAGGGCCCTGGAGACTGGAACTCTTGACAGGTCAGGATGGAGACAAACACAAGCAGGTCACCAAGGGCTCCCAACCCTGACCCTGGCACATGGCCCATTGTGGTCGCTTTTTAACACAGATGTAGGCCCTATGTATTCTTTGAGCACACAAACTCTTCCACAATTAAACTAGACACAAATGAAACGGTTCAGATTTACACAAGACAAGGAGAAGCATCAGGTGCAGGGGCCCAGGCAGGCAAGGCTCTGCAGAAGGGCTAGACTGCAGGGCCTGACAAGACTACGCAAGTTGAGACCTGAGCGGCTGGGCAGCAGGAAGGGGAGGTGGCCACAGGCCTAGGGCTCTGGGTCAGGGCCAAGCCCCTGCACAGAGCTGATGCCTGCTTTAGCCCACCCAGGGCACTGGGCCTCTCAAGTCCTTCTGATAGTGGACCCTGGCCCCACTCCTCCAGGAGTCAGGGTAAATGGGTCCTTTGGTACCTTTGGTGTGGCCAGTCCTGCTGGCTGCCTTGGGGCAGGGCTGAGCCTACAAGCCCCTCTGCCACAGCAACACACTCCACTCCCTCAGCCYTGGG